GCACTATGGGGTGGTATATAAGCAACACGCTTTGCTTTGCTTTGTTTTGTAACTGAGCATACTTCACCCGCCTTTGGCTTAGTGGCAAATAGCTGCCTAATTTCCAGTGTTTACATGTGATCAGATCTGGGAAATACTGCTTTGTTTTTAATGGTATCCCCAGGATTTCCTAGCCACAAACCATGCTATTTAGGGGACACTAGTCTATAAAAGCTTGCTCTGTATATGGGAAGAACCAGGATCCTTCACTTCCTATTGATTGCGGAGTGCTTTTGCCTCAGCTCACCTTTAACAGAAGTTGGATGTGAACCACAAAAATGGCAAACCAAGCTGGCTCTCCTCCTGCTATCCTTTCCTCACACTGATTCTTCAAGCATTGCCCTCTGGGAAAGAGACTTTATGTCTTCCTTTTTGCTCCATCAAACACATGCTACATTTATGGTGTTATATGAATTATGCACAATAAAATAACTTCCGAAGCAAACAGTGGCCTGCAGTGGGAGCGAAAGCTTTTTGTGAAACAATATTCCCCAAACTTAATTCGGAGAGGCATACATTAATGTCACTGCAAGTAAAAATTATTTGAACAGATTATGCTGGCCACTGTTGTTTTAAGGCTTATCATTCCATAGACAATGATGATAGCAACAGCTTTTAAAAGATGACCCAAAAAGTAACTTTTCCAAACAAGCACTTTACAGTTCCAGTCCAGCCTAGGTCCTCTTTTTTTAAAAAAAATATATTTAAAGAAGAAAGGAGGCCAGGCTGGCTCCATCTTTACTGTTCTTCCGCAAGCAGGTGAAGACCTTTCTCTTCGGACAAGCTTTATTACAGTAACTGGCTGCCTGGCTGGAGTTTTTACATGGATTGTTGCACCTTACTGCTTTGAATGGTTTTACATGGATTGTTGTACCTTACTGCTTTGAATGTCTTGCTTTTCTTTGCCATTTTTAGTGTGGTTTTTATTTGCTCTTCTTTGCCATTTTTAGTGTGGTTTTTATTTGACTTTTTAAAGCATTTCTATACTTGCTGTTGCTAGCTCTAAATACTGTCTTTTCATAATGTAAGCCACTTTAGATCCTATTTAAGGAGAAAGGCAAAATAAATGATATTTTGAATACACTATACAAAAATGACGAATAAAATTACAATCCTCCAAAATAACATACACAGCAAGCACATCAGATGGTATTACTGAATTGAGTTAACACTTCTCTCCGTAAGGGAACCGAAGAGGCTGGGGGACAGCTAAAAAAATCAGTATACAGTGGTATATTACCTCATTAAATGACGAAATCGCTTTTGCGATCACACAACGATGTTTTAATGGGCAAAATTCGCTTCCTGAGTTAAGACTTCTCTCCATAAGGCAACCGGAGAGGCTGGGGGACAGCTAAAAAAGTCAGTATACAGTGGTGCCTCGCTTAACGATTACCTCGTTAAATGACGAAACCACTTGACGATGAGGTGATGTTTTAATGGGCAAAATTTGCTTCCTGACGATAGGTTCCCTGCTTCGGGAACCGATTCTTCGCATTACGACAATCAAAACAGCTGATTGTCGGGTTTCAAAATGGCCACCCGCTGTGTAAAATGGCTCCCCGCTGTGCTTTAGGATGGATTTTTCGCTGCACAGGCATCAGAAAATGGCCACCCTATGGAGGATCTTCGCTGGACGCTGAGGTATGTATCCCATTGGAACGCACTTAGTGGATTTGAATGCATTTCAATGGGCTTTTTTATTTCGCTTGATGAGGATTTCGCTCTACAGTGATTTCACTGGACCGGATTATCCTCGTCAAGCGAGGCACTACTGTAATTATTACAATACTGAATCAAAGGGAGCCACGTTTTACAAAATGAGCCTGTGCCGGAATTCTGGTACAGTAATCAAGAGTGAACAGTGAGTTGTTCCATCAATGGTAATTGCCACACTCTAGATTCCCAAGCATTTATTGAAACTTCTACAGCCACTTAATCATTTGTAATCCTTTGTCTAGCTACTATGCACCGAAAAGTGATTAACTCGTTGTGATGTATTAATGCACTGGAGTTTTTTTTAAAATCCATTAATTCTAGTTCTAGAGTCATATCAATCCATTATGGAAAGACATTATCTTTCCAATTCTAACAAATATCTTTACCCCAAAATTAACTATTCTAGGGCACTGCCAACAGGAATGTAAATAGGCACTAATTGCTTTGCAGCCTCTCTGACAATTTGAATCCAGGTTATTGGTCATGTAATTCAATTTGAATCGAGTGTAATGCTGTTGGTGTGCCACTTTGAGGCAATGCTCTCTTAGAGATGTTGACATTGTTTTTAAAAAGACTTATTTCACCCCACAGCCTTTTTCACTGTTCGTCTCTAATAGTAAATCCAAAGTCTTTCCCCTAAATTTCTTTGAGCCCCCTCAGAATATCATAGATTGTATTAATCAATGTAGTAAATCTTCATATACAGGGCCTTCTGGCTGTCGATAGCCAATAATATTATGTTTTTCATGGTTGTTAGAGGCTTATTAGGTGCTTCTCTAATCTGAAGTAGAAAATGAAATGAGGTACTTGGTGGAGCTGTAACCATGACGTTTTGAGAGCACCAAGTTGCACCAAAAGTTGGATCCTGGATTTTGTCGTGTTCCTGAGGAAAAGGTCATGGAGACGGAATAAGTCACTTTCCTTCCAGTATCTAAACTTCAACCATTCATCCTTGCTACGAAACAGAGAATCACTTAAGAAGGGAGTGTGGGACAAATTAGATGGCAAAAAATCTTTTTCCCCATTCATTCCAGTATATATATGACTATTGATATGTGTGTGTATGTATATGTGTGTGTGTATATATGCATGTATATATATATATATAGTATGTATGTATATATGTATGTGTGTATATATGTGTGTATTGTTATTTCTAAGGAGAAATGGAATTCTGAGTAGATTTTCTAAAGTTCTCTTTGGTGATTCAAGTTGTAACCATCCACATTCTTCGTCCCGATTAATCAGTCTAATTAGCTCTCTGTTCTGACCAGCTACATAATAACACTACAGGAATTCCTAACCACTATTGATATGTGTCTGTATGTTTATGTGTGTGTGTATATATGCATGTATATATAGTATGTATGTATATATGTATGTATATATGTGTGTATTGTTATTTCTAAGGAGAAACAGCATTCTGAGTAGATTTTCTAAAGTTCTCTTTGGTGATTCAAGTTGTAACCATCCACATTCTTCGTCCCGATTAATCAGTCTAATTAGCTCTCTGTTCTGACCAGCTACATAATAACAATACAGGAATTCCTAACCCACCTTTTTTATTTCCCCCTCTATTGTATTGTACTTGGTACTCTTGATCTCTTTCCTCCATGTATAAATTTCTCACTTATTGCCATTTTTTTCAGGACATTCTGATAATCCAACTGGAATTGTATGGAGCAGACATTTTGATGGAAGAGATACTCCACAACCAGGTTAATTTCAGCTTCCGGTTTTGTATTAAACCGTGCATCTGGTGAATTATGGGTTTATAATTAATGGAATTTGTTTCACTTCAAGTAGCTGGCATTATTACCACTAAATATTCTATAGATGGTTTTGCAACAGGGAAAGCTGTTCGTGTCTGCAGGGAAACCCTCTCTTGAGCCCTAATATTATAGATTTTTTTAAAAACTTGATCCTTAAACCAGATACTAAAGCATATTCTGAGAAAATGTCCAATTTTATTGGAATCTTTGTGAAGGGGCATAAGGCCAATACTGCCACATCATCTGCAAAAAGTAGTAGGATCTTGGGTCTTGGTCATGGCAGGAGGGAGAGAGAGAGAGAGAGAGAGGCTTCTCATTTGAACCAAATAAATGGAAACTGGTTCAAATTACCGTCAAGCATAACTCTATCTTTGAAAAGTGATTGAATGTGGTATTCTTCTTCGCTAGTAGAAAGAAAATGGAAGTAATGGAAGCAATGGATTTACAATTTTTTGGAGAGAAAAAAACCAGCGTCAAAATATATGTTCGGAGGAAGAACCATGAAAAAAAAAAAAGAAAGAAAGAAAAAGCACACATTTTAAAGATCAGATGGCTTGGGGCTCCTCTGCTACCTAGTTTACAGGTTTAGGATTAAAAGCAAAATGCCGGAAACTCAAGAAGTTGCTTACACCAGTTCAATTACTCATCCCTTTAACCCAGTCTTGCCCGAAGACTCAGGCAGGGGAAAATGCTTTGTGACATCTATTGCCAGATATTCTTTTAACTGCAGATGCCAGAAGCCCAACTTGCGGCATTCCGTTTCAAGCATCTCTAAGGGAACTGACCTCTCCAAGAGCTTGAAATCCAAGAGGGGAGGACTGTTGTTGTTGTTTTTTTAAAAAGCCTCAGCCTTCAGGCTACCTCTTCTCCTTAGAAGCATCTGCACTTAAATTCTCCCATTGACATCAAAGCAACTTTTAAAACTGACTCATTTCAACTAGATTGCATCACTGCCTTTTAAAGCAAAGATTTCTAGGGTTGCTGCAGAAGCCATGATGAAGTTTTGGTTTGCATGCTTTCGATTCACAAATGCCCATTTGCATTCTGAAAACACAAGTGAATCATCTCTTGTATTGTTTCCTCTTCCCTCAACAGCCCTGAATACCACACAATGGTTTCACAGGGTAGAACAACATACTAAACCATGGTTAGTTTAACCACCTAGTGCTTTGCAAGCCAGCTTTTCTTCATGGTTTTATATCCTGGCCAAAGTTTGAAAATGTTGTTTGCTTGTACAGTGATTCCCAGAAACCATCACTCAGCATGACCAGTTGTTATGTCTGTTGGGGTTTTAAGAGCCTGAGGTTTAAAAAAGATAATTTTTCCAAGCTCTGATCCTGGTCTCATGGCTACTCACAAACCATGGTTTGTTAAAAGGTGTTGCTTTGGGCATAACAACATACTATATTTGCATTTTATTCCTGAATCTTCCCATAGACTTTTCTAAAACAGATGGTGAGAATCTTCTACCTGAGACATCGCTGCTCTTTGCAAAGCTGGTGTACAAGGACTGGAACTACTGCCAGAGCCTAGCCTCCCATGGGAGTTGGCATCACGACCCACAAGAGGTGCCCAGGCGAGATCAGTCTGGCCACTTTCTCTCTTCTTGTGCTTGTTCTCCGACTGCAAACAAATGAACAAAGACAAAAGCAGAGCAAGATTCAGTTCTGACATCATGAAAAGAGTACAGTGGACCCTCTACTTACAGAATTAATCTGTATTGGAACGGTGGCTGCAGGTCGAAAAGTCTGTGGGTCGAGTCTCCATTGACCTACAATGCATTGAAAACCGATTAATCCCGTAACTGGCCGTTTTTGTTCCATTTTTGTTCCATTTTGGGTTTTTTTCTGGTCTGTAGGTCGATTCTCCGGCTGCAAGTCAAACCTAAATTTTGTGGACAGAGAAGTCTGTAACTCAAAAAGTCTGTAAGTCGAGCCATCTGTAAGTTGAGGGTCCCTTTTTGCCATTTAGCCCACTCCTTATTGAGTTCCTCTATTTATAAGGAGACGAGAAATGGAAATCTAGAATAGGTTCATGCCTCTTTCTTCGATTAAAAATTTTTTTACAGAGGAATAACTGTGCTAGTTTGTTAAAGCAAAAACAGTGAAAAGTCTTGTGGTTACTTAAAGTTTGACAGGCTGCCGACCGGATGCCGCTGCTGAAGAAGGGAAGCGCAGCCCATCAAAGCTGGGGTTTTATTTTATACTCTCAGTTCAGTACTGTGGTTCTGACTTAGTAGCCAGACATATTTACCTACTACTAGAGATGGCCATGAACTGCACTTTGGCAGTCTAGTCCAGTTTGGCACCACACCAGCATAGATGTCCTGTGGACATGGTGTACTCCCTTCTCCTGCCTCCCCTGCACACTCACCCATTCCCTGGGTGATGTGTGCTTCCTTCCTCTGCCTCCTCCTGCAGCTGCCCTCTCATAGGCAGTACTGCGGGCTTCCTTGTCTCGCCTCCCTGTCTGAGAGGGAGGCCACTGGAGGAGGTGGAGGAGGGAGTGCACACTGAGTGGGCAGTTGCACTGAGGAGGTGAGGAGGGAAGCACTCATCACCTGGGAAATGGGCGAGCCACAGAGGAGAGGGGAGTGCGCTGCACCTGTGGAATAGCCGTGCAGGCCCAGTGCTGAACTGGACCGAACCACTGAATTTTGGGTTGCGCCCATCTCTACTAAGACATTTCCATCTGCATCTTCAGCAGCAGGACTATGTAGTTATAAAGCCAGACTGTCTTCAGCTAGATTTCCCTGTGAGTTTTCCTCCAGGCTTCCCACTGCCCTAATTTTAAATTCATGTTTTACACTCCAAATAACTGTAATTATAAATGAAGTGTTGAAACGCATTGCTGAAAGCTCCAGAATGAAATTCCCATACGAACTGGAAGTCTGAACTACAGCTTGGTTTTTAGTCTATTTGGATGTGTTTTTTTCTACATCACCAAGTCAACTAACTGCTCTGGGAAACACAGGCAGATTCAATATTGATACGTGTTGTCCTATGAGGGTGTTAATAGCATATCTGGGGGGAGAAGGGGCTGTTTAAACCCTGACAGCTTCCTTGTTAATAAAACACCAGGAGATCTAGCCAAACAGCAGTCTCAATAAGAAGTCATGATTACTTCACTGGAGGGGAACAGCGTTCAAATCAATGCTCTGGTCCCTGTGAATTGAAGCACACGCACTCCCTGAGATCAACATGATGCGAATGGGATTAAAGAAACAGAGCATACAGAATCATAATGGCAACAGTGCCGTGCTAGAAACACACAAGACACAGCCAGGAGTTGCAAAAAGAAAGTGCAGGTTTATGTCAGACCCAATTTGCGCGTTTTTAGAGCCACACACTTCCAACAGAGACTCCCTGCCTACACCTGGTAATGTCAAAAAAGCCACCGCAGTACATTTGGATTAAAATTTAACAGTAATGGCACAGGCTAAATTTTACAATGCATCTTATTCTAGTACAAAGAAGTCATTTATGGAATACATGCCAGAGACACACATGAATATTGGAGCTGACATTATGCGATGTGTCTTTCCTCCCTTTTTAGGTGGCAGATTTTTTTCTCCCAAAAAGACAATGTTGAAGACATGAACAGAGTTATCCATCCTCTAAAGCTCAGAAGATGGGGGAACTACCTAGCCAAGCCCCTCTCAAAACATTCATATTTTCTCTTTCAGTTGTATTCTCCAAAATGGGCTCCAGAATTTGGGAGGGGGTTTATCACAATTAAAATCTATCCATTGGCCCCCTTATCTTGGGGTATACAGTCGTGTCTCGCATAGCGATTGCTTGGTATAGTGATGAAATCGCTTTGCAATGGACTTTTTGCCATAGCAAGAATGATCGCTTTGTGATGGTCCCTATGGGGAAAATTCGCTTTGCGATGATCGTGGGGAAGCGATCATCGCAAAGCCCCCATTTTCGCACAGCTGATTGGTGGTTTCAAAATGGTCGCCGGAAAAACAAAATGGCTGCCCGCTGTTTTGCCTCGCTTTAGAGGCACCGAAAATGGCCGCCCTATGGAGGATCTTCACTTTAAGGTTAGTTTTTAGCCCATAGAACACATTGAAGGGGTTTCAATGCGTTTCTATGGGCTTTTTAAAATCGCTTAGCGATGAAATCGCTTAGCAGCAATTTTTGCTGCACGGATTAACATCGCTGAGCGAGGCACCACTGTACATAGTGCCTCCAAGAATCATCCACTCAGATGACCTGTACATATCAGGAAAGCTTGGCAAATTAGCTTTCAGCTATCCATGATGTCTAAATACGAGAAACGTCTGCAATGCCATTCTCTTTCTGCCTTAAAACAGTGTTCGTTCCCTCTTGGTTGTGTTACCTTCACAATGTCACATCTTTATAACTGGTTTTCAGCCAGTCAAACATCCTAGTCCATACTCCTAACAGCAGTGGCTAAGAATTAAAACCCACAATCCATCCTTAAGTATTCATTGAAACAGGAAAAGGAAACGGGAAAAGAAAATGCAAGTAAAGATAAAGACAGCAAGAAAAAGAGGAAGACGAAATAAGAGAGGGATTGATTCCATAATGAAAACCATAGCCTTGATTTTATGATGGCTGAGCAAGACTGTTAAGGACAGGACATTCCGGAGGTCATTCATGCGTAGGATTGCCATAAGTCAGAGGTGACCCAACAGCCTGTAACAACGACAACTGTGAATACAAGGGGAACTAGTGTGAAGTTATGCTTGATTGTAGTTGGACTAGGATTTGGGAGATAGAAGTTCTAGTTCCCTTGAGCCATGCAACTCACTGGATCCTGTCTCTCTCTCTCTCTCTCTCTCAATAGCTTATCTCACAGGATTATTGGGAAGATAATGCTGCAGGAAGGACAGCCATATGCATCCTCCTTTGGAAGAAAGACAGGTACGTAGACAGAGAGACAGATATTAAATGAACATCTATTTTTCAGTGGTGAGCTTTTCCCTTCTGAAATTCTAAGTGCTTACCCACCCATGAAAATTGTCTTTTTTACTTTAACCCCAAACAACAATCCATTTGTTTTGCAGGCTTGGAGTGGACACAAATATTTTCTAACCGCGTGATACCTTAAACCCATGCAGAATCTCATGGCTTCTTTTCCCTATGTGTAGAAACACAATGGAAGGAAGAACCTGCAGGATTCCTTGCCATTTCTGATCAAGGCAAGGGGCTACCCTGAGTGAGACATAACTTACTTCTCTGTTTGTACTGTTGGAAGGCAGCCGTCCAGGAGATGGGCTAAGGACTTGGGGAGGGTCTTGCCTCATTTGCTTGTGATCGTGTTGGAAAGAAAGCAACTGGGCTTGATCCTTGGGAAGCGTCCGATGAAGCTTCTTAATGTGATGTGTGTCTTCAGCTTTTTTCTAGCACATAAAAGGGTGAAAAAGACCATTTTGTAGTACTGAAAAGGGGGGAAAGAGAAAAGACACATTCTGAAGACACAGAACCTGATGGACTTCTTGTTGAATACGGCCAACCGTCTTTTCTCCCTAAAGCTGGACAGGAACTGGGTATCTAGAGCCATCTAGAATGATCTAAAGCACTGATTCTTAACCTTTATTACTCAGATGTTTTTGGACTGCAACTCCCAGAAGCCTTCACCATCAGCTCTGCTGGCTGAGGTTTCTGGGAGTTGCAGTTCAAAAACACCTGAGTAACAAAGGTTAAGAACCACTGATCTAAAGTCTTTTCCAGCAGTGCTGATCAGCAGATGGTTTGGAGACCACGAGTGAGGTGCAGAGGTTGTCGAGGTGGGGTACAAAGTTACAATCATTACAAAATCTACTCTTCTTCAACACCCATACCTCCCTATATGTGAAGCTAGGGAGTTATTATCCATTCTGCTAGGGGAATTATTAATTTTTTTTCTTTCTATTTGCTCCCCAAAACAATTCTGCAATTTCTACGTCCTTAAAACTTCTAGTAAATGATAAATATATTAACTGAATGACTATAAATTTATAAATGCCCTTTCTGGGGCATTTTGTTTCTCTTCTAGCACTCCTAAGTTAATATGGAATGTTAAAGACAATTAGTTAAACTCTCAAGTAGTTTTGCTTTCCCTAAGATTAATAGGTGAACTGACTCCCCAATTAATTTGTTGACTTGTTAAATTTACGATAAATGTCTAATGAATTACAACAGCCAATGACAAAGTAATGAAATTGTTATTTAAAAAGTGATACTGCCGCATATAATGGCTCAAAGAGTGGGCTTTTAAATGGCTGTTGAAAAGTTTAAGAAATTAAAAGCCGCAAAACTAGTTTTTAATGAATTATTTTCAGGCTCTACATGGCCTATTTCCTATACCAAGAGGAAACTATAACAGAATCGTGTTTTACAGAAACTATAACATGGGGAGTGAGTGCTCCATGCTTGGAGAACACTTCCCCTCTGTGCATGTGTTAGCTTTTGCGGGAGGGGGGCACCCACTTCATACATTATGTTGTACATCCTGCTCTTTCACCCTATGCAGATGACCAGCCTTTGGCCACAGACCTCAAGGAGATTTTCTCTTTTTCAGAGAAGGGAAGGGAAGGGAATAAAATGAAATGCAACACAATAGAATACAATACCACACCACATCCACACCTGCTGGTTTTCTGATTTCTTGACCCCATCCACTTTGCACCATTCCTCTTCATTACTTTTCCTGACATCTTTATCCTTCTCGGCTTTGCTTTGAGCTCCCTTGATCTCGGTACCTTTTCTTTCAGACTCCAGATGCCTCCGAAGCTCTTCTCTCTTCTGGTGCTAAACACATGCCGGGAAACAATATTGTTTTCATTTCATAAAAAAGAATCATGGTTCAAGCCAGACTACGGGCGATTCTGTACAAATGTGGTCTGAGAACCATGGAGTCTTGTACTCTGTGGCAGCCAGGCAACCATCTACCGAAGCAGAGGGGTAGGCTGGGAAGTGGGAGGAAAGGAAACTGCAGGGACTTGAACCACTCCCAGAGGATGCAAACGGATCACTTTTCAGGCCACTTTTTGGAATATCTGTTCTCCAGAGACAGGTGACATTGGGAACCAGCCTGACCCTGCTCCATGCCTAGTCTGGACCTTTTTAGTCCAGCAGCAAGGCCGCTGTTGAACTGGAGTGCCCGGGGCTGGATTGCATGTGGATGGAAAGGTCACTTCAAACCAACCTCAGGAATCCTGTCCTGGCCAGCACAGCTAGTGGTGAAGGCTTCTTGGAGATTTAGTTCAAGCCAGACTTATGGGCGATTCTGTACAAATGTGGTCCGAGAACCAGTCCTTTAAAGACCTCACCTAGGAAAGACAGCCTTTGTGATCCAAGGCAATCTTATTATGTCAACACCTTCTTGCACCCTGGTCCTTTAAAGACCTCACTTAGGAAAGACAGCCTTTGTGATCCAAGGCAATCTTATTATGTCAACACCTTCTTGCACCCTGTGATGCCATTTGCAATAATTGCTCATCAGAATAGTGTGTGAGGACACTAAGAGTAATAATTAATAAAGGATGGACTTCAGTCTCATGCAATGACCTGCCTTGCAAGATTGTTGTGAGGAGAACACTGAAGTCACGCTCATTGAATTGGGACTACTCCAGATGAGGCTAGCAAATGCACCTATGCTTGTTGTCTAGCAAGATTGTTGTGAGGAGACGCAGAGCTCAGAACATTGAAGTCATGCTCATTGAATTGAGACTACTCCAGATGAGGCTAGCAAATGCACCTATGCTTGTTGTCTCTCGTGCTGATCTTAGGAAATTTAGGGCTTGTCTGCGTGCCTGTTTTGGGGTGGGCTGGATGAGGCTCAACAGGGTTGGGTCAGAGGTCTGGTGTGCCATTTGGTGCATTTCTCGCATCCAAAGGGCATATGGACCTTCAAGTGACCCTATTTGGTCTGCTGTCAATTTGTCAATATTGTGAAGTTACTTAAAAAGAGAGCCACTTCAGGATACATGCATTCAGTAGGAAGGCTTGCTTTTGGTTTGTTTCCAGTAATCACATGTGCTGGAGATGAACCAAAACATAATAATCCTACCTGCACCACAACTGTAGAAGCCCCTGGCAGGACTGTACTGGGTATGGGCTGGATCGTTCCAACAAAGACACAATCTGATTGTTGTCCTTAGGAGTGAATCAACCAATCGCCACAACAGACCAAACAGGGGTTAAGTGTCCATGTTGTCAGCCTCTGACATTTTTGGAATAGAAGAAGCCCCAGCAGAGGAGAGCAATTCTATGAATCTTCTCCCAAATATATATATTTTCCCCCAAGCTCTGTTCTTTCTTCCTTTCCTTCCCATCCATTCCTCTCTTGTCTCTTCAATCCTGAAATGTATATTATAAGCTCCTTGAGGGAGGGGGGAAAGGAATTGTTTTATTTTTTGCTATGCTTCTGTTAATCGGCAGATGTGCACAGATAATGCTTAACAACAACAATAACAAAAACCCATTATACTTCTACAAATCAGATGTCAATTTCTAGTTAAAAATCTAAAAACAGTTTCTCTTAAGGTATACAAACATGTCACATGCAAACACGGCTGCTCTTCCTATTTCATTGTCTCTTTTTTTCATGCTCTGCAAAAATAAAATAAACTGTATGTGTGTGTTTTTTTTTAAAAAATCCATAGCCTACATCCTCCAACTTTTTCCTCTGCAGTTTTTGCTCCACAATCCGCTTCTGCCTCTCTTCTGACAGCTGTTTTTTGTACTTCTCTTGGTCTTTCTGCTGTTGGATCTGCTGCTGGCGTTGGGGTTCAGAACGACTTTTGTTCTCCTGCTGAAGCCTCAGGAATTCGCGGCGGAGAGTGGATTCACCGGGGAGATTAACAATTGAGCTTGGTTTAAAAAAAAATAAAAGGGAAGGGAAGGGAAAAGAATATCTGTTTGAGTAACGATGGTAAAATTGTACTGTGCATACTAGCACAAATGGCTTGCTGTCCTGGGTTCTGCCTTAGAACATTCCAGAAAATCTCCACAGAATCTCTTGCCTGCTTCTTCCCCTCACAACTCTCCAGTCCTGTTCTGTATTTACAATGTCTCTGTTTCAACAACTCTTCCGAATCCAGGCTAAACCTGATTATCTGTTTGTTCACTGGAGACATCACTTCACCGTTGCCTTCCCCAAACAAATTTTAGCATCTGTTCACACTTTACATTCAACAGCCAAAGCTGAAAGGGAACAAAAGAGGATTCAGATATAGCCTGTTTTTCTTTTTTGGAAGCCCATCTGGTTGAGGGAGGGGATGGTGGAGGAGAAAACAGCCAAGCTCTAGGCAGATGCTCCAATGATTCGCCATGTTTACCTCAGATTTAGAGAGGGGCATCACAGGAAGGAAAACATCCCATTTAAATGTTTTTAAAAACCACATAGTGACGCTTGACCTTTGTAGTATCTCATGTCAGCCAAGGCCTAGGGGCTCTCTTATTCTTCAAAAATAGTATTTCCTCAGCTTGGCCCACCACAATGTATTCCTTTGAGTCAACTCCTCTGCAGGGCAAGCCAAAGACATTTTGTCACCTGAGGTAAAGACGCCCTTGCTCCCGATTTCACACAGAAGAGCAAACAGGACTAATAACTGGACTCATCTCCATCAAACAAGAACTCTGGAAGCCTGAGGTAAAGACCAAGCTCTTGCTCCCGATTTCACACAGAGGAGCAAACAGGACTAATAACTGAACTCATCTCCATCAAACAAGAACTCTGGAAAATTGGGGTTCTTTGTGTGTGGTGATACATAGGAGCAATACCCCCTCTCCTCTCCATGCCAGATCTAGGGCTGAAGTTGTGTAGCATGCAACAACAGAAGCAGCAGGCTCAGCCCTCACCTCTAAGTGTGCTCTTCTAGCCATGATGCATGGTGTCTGAATAGGCCAACTGGCAACCACACACCAAAAGACCACATGCCACCTGAGATGAACAGTTCTGTCACACCGCATCTTCCTAACAGTCCCCTGCTTGCCCATTTGCTGCCTGAGGCAAACCACTTGCTGTGCCCAGTGGTAGGGCGGTCCTGCTTTCTTTCTGTACTTATTTTCCCCCCATTGCTCTTGATAACTGGAAGCTGCCATCACATCCCTCAGGGAAAACTCAGTGTCAAGCTTGCGGGAAGCAAAGGATGGAAAATATTTTTGCCAAATTGGACAGTCTTAAGGGAAATAGCGTTTTCGCACTTCCCAAAATTCATCGCAAAAGAAACATACTTTGCCTCAAGCAACTGCACTTTTTAATCCCCCTGAGGCTTATGGGGGCATTTCTGAGAAACAATGTGTGGCACAAAAGAAAATGTGTTCTATAAAACATGAAAGGCCAAAACAAACAAACAAACAAACACACACACACACACACCATTGTGGGGGAAATTCACACAAACGTGCTTTCGTTATGCGGGAAATGGATATCTTTAGATCAGATTCATACATATTTGCATATAATCTCTTATGTTTTCATGTTTTAATCTTTTGGGGGGGAAATTCACGCAAACATGCTTTCGTTATGCGGGGAATGGATATCTTTAGATAAGATTCATACCTATTTGTATATAATCTCTTTTATGTTTTCATGTTTTAATCTTTGAATTGTATTTTAAATCATAAATTGTTTAATTTATCTTTTAATACTTAACTTATTGTGTTTTTAAATTGTGTGAATTTTAATGTTGTGAGCCGCTTTGGGTCCCTTCTTGGGAGAAACATGGCATATAAAGAAAACTAATAAATAAATTAATAACGACGACGATGATAATGATGATGATGATGATGATGATGATGATGATCATCATCATCATCATCATCATCATCATCATCATCATCATCATCATCATCATCAGTCTCTCTCCCAGGTGATTAAATCAACAATTTAGATTCTATCTAAAATACAAAATGTAACCTTGGTTCTCCTTCATCTTCGTTCAGCTCATCACCTTCTTCCTCGCTTCCACTGTATTCATACTCAGTTTCTTCTAAAACAAGAGGAATGAAAGCCATGTGAGATGCTCCATATTCTTTTTTCAATAAACATTTCTCAATAAAATATTTACCCATATTGCCCCAGGATATTCCTTCCCCAGAATGTTCTTCACTCCCCCCAATCCTTTGTGCTACCAAACACTCTAGGCTTGGTCAACAACAGGCATTCAGAGGTGACCCAAGCCGTAGACATGATCGCCCCTAAATACATTCTTCAATGCAGAGCTCAGCCTTCTCTGTGTTTTACAGAGGAATTAAGGGCTATGAAGCAATTACAAAAAGGCTAGAGAGCAGAAGGATGAAAGCTCCCACAGAATTCAACCTGGCAGTAATCAGGGAAGCATCCAGAAAATTCTGATGAATGAACTCAAGGCCACCAAAAGAAGCCACAATATCCAACTAACTAAGGCACTTCCAATCATCAGGTGGAACTCTTCCATGTAGTTCATGGCTTCATTCCTTCTGGATAAAAACAATTTCTCCACCTAAATGTTGAGCATTGCAACCAACTGGTAGCCCATTTTAGATCTAAGGTTGAGACCTTGACTCCTTGTTGACATCAGTAGATCTGATAGAGATAACCACTGCACCATCTAGTTAGGTTAAACTGGATCCATTCCAGCTCATTCAGACTGAGGATGTGGACAAGGCACTTGCATGCTGCAAATCCAACAGCCCTTTAGATCCCTGCTCATCATGGCTCTTAAAATCAAGAAAGCAAATTACTGGGCCACTCACATCATCAATGCATCCCTAGAGGAGGGTCATTTACCCTCCTGTCTAAAAGAAACCATGATGTGGCCCACAGGAGGGTCACCTGTCTAAAAGAAACCATGATGTGGCCCATTCCAAAGAAATCCAGTTTAGCAACAGATGATCTTAACTACAGGCCTGCTGCCAACATTTCATTCCATAAATTGAGAGGCTCATGGCTCCAGGGTGTTCTTGGAGGAAATGGATAACCTAGATCCATTTCAGTTGGGATTCAGGCTGTGCCATGGGATTGAAACAGCATTGGTTTCCCTGCAAGATAATCTCCTGGGGGAAGCAGACAGGGGAGAGTGTAGCCCTGCTGGTTCTCCTGGATCTTTCTACAGCCTTTGATACTGTCAGCCACAATATCCTTATGAGACAGTCTTCCTCTGCAGGTGATGCTGCGTGGATTCTTGAGCACTGCCTGACATCAATGATAGGCTGGATGACGGGCAACAAACTGAAACAGAATCCAGGTAAGACAGAGATCCTACTGTTGGAGGGAATCATCAGACTGGTCATAGGGACATTTGCTTGGCCTTGATGGGACTGCACTCCCCCTGAAGGATCAGGGTCACAGCATAGGGGTACCCTTATACCCAGCTCTCTCTATGGAGGAGCAAATATCTGCTGTGGCCAAGAGTAACTTTTATCAACTTCAGTTGATTGCCCAACTGCATCCCTACCTGGATAAAAAAAATGCCTAATCAGTGCTTCATGTGTTTAGGTAATCCCTAAAACAGATTGCTGTAACAGTATCTACACAGGGTTACCCTTGGAGTCGGTACTGAAAATTCAGTAGATCCAAAATGCAGCAGCCAGATTGATTATGGGCACTAGAAGATATGAACACACGTTGCTTTGATTGGCTTCCTGTTCATTTCAGTGCCCAGTTCAAGGCCTTAGTGGTTTAGGACCCCCGTATTTGATGGAATGACTCTTCCACAAAATAGCTACCCATTCCACAAGCTCCTTGCAGTCCTTGACGTTAAGAACTCTTAACACCCAAGGAGGCTCAAAAAGCCAACACTACAGCAAATAATGTAATGTGTCAATACAACAAACATATCTGCAATTCTTTTTTTCTGATTTTGGAAGCTAAGCAGCATCAGACATGGTTAGTTCTTGGATGGGAGACCACCACTGAATAGCAGGGATTGCCAGCTGGGATTAGGAACAAATCCTGTCTTAAACACTGGACGGGCACATTAGCGTTATTTCAACAGTCAAGCCAACAGGCTTTCTATGATCCTCTGTTTGTCACAAGAAGACCCACAGCTCTGGTGGGAAATGGGGGCTACTGTGCCTATACACAAGTTTGCCACTGTATAATGTGTGAATAGGTCTTCCATCCTTTCTCTTGCACCTCAAAATGTTCTAAAGGCAACAGGGCTGATTCTGGCCATACTCCAGACCTCACCTTTGTCTCCCTTCTTCTTCCTGGCTCTGTCTAGATGGTCCTTTAGCAAGATGCGCACCTGACGTTCGTTCTGCATGTCTTTAATGAAGGAATGTTTGAGCAGAGTTTCCGTGGTTGGGCGATGGATGTAATTCTTAACCAAACAACTCTCAACAAAGTTCAGAAATTTCTTTGACCTAAAAATTACAAAGAAAGAAAAAAAAGCTGAGGCCAATTGACAAAACATTCACCTCTCTCCTGTCTCTCCTCAAAACAGTTTAAGGAAATGTTTCAACCAGGTTGGCTAAAGTACTATGTAGGGTTGCTTGCGGAATGAAGACAGAAATCATAATCAATAGAAAACGAGAAAGCAAGGCATAAGGAGTGCCGGGGCTAATGAGACAAGCTTTTGCTGACCAGTTGAGAAGAGACCGGTTTGGGAGCCACTCTGCACATACCTGACCGTGTGCACCAGTTCCACGTATTCAAAACGCCTAGGTATGCACAATCAGAAGCTTTGTAGGACCAGCGTGAGCCCCAGTGGCTTCCTGTGTCTGCTGACCCTCCTGAACTGGCAGCTACAACTCCAGTCTCTGAACATCTGAACTGAACTGCAACATTAAATGACCAGGGCCGGCCTTGCTGTTGGACAGAAGGCAGCAATGGCCTCAGGTGGCAAATACAAGAGAGAACATCAGGTATTCCCTGACGATACTTCCTGAGCCTCCCAACCATTCCCATCTTTTGGAGGATAAAATTCTGCGCTCACCCTCTTCACCAGCTTATCACCCCTCAGGTATGATGGGGGAACACTAGTTACATTGTCAATATTCAACTGGCATTCCAGTCAGCTCTCCTCATGTGAAACACAGGAAGAGAGGTGTCTTATCTTTCACCCAGACAGTGAAATGCCCTGGATCAGCTCTCAACGGCTCCCTTCTCTGGCCAGCCATCACAACAATGCAGGCAGGGGTGACGCTCCGTGTCAAGAGTCTCAGATTTGAGAAACCACACAGCTATGCTCACTATTTCAAGGTCTGTAAGGATGGGGTATCAAAATCACTAAGTACAGCCTGTGTTGGCATATACTGGGTGTGGGTGGGTGTTTTCCCCTGGCCATACAATTTGCATAGCAGGTAGATGGACAAACACAGGGCAAACAACTGCCACTGCAATTAAAAACTAGGTAAAATGTGTCACACGCCCCCCCGCCCCAAGAGGTTGCTGAACTGCAACACCCAGGATCTCTAGTGCTGCCCAGGGTGGATAAACAGTGGAATTCCCATATGGAAAGCAACATCTGAAGGTTGCACTTTCCCCATCTTTGATTTTGAAGGAGCATCAAAGTATGCCCATTTCAGTACACAGATGGAGCAACATATGTCAATGTTCTAGAGCCCCTACTTACACGGTCTCAGAACACCAAACCATCTCACTTGGTTTGTCTCTTGTCCAAACAACACCCTGCAGAACATGTCCTGGCTACCAAACTTCTTAACATGCACTGCATTTTCAGTTAAACCAAACCGACCTCAAACTTATTCTAGAGCAGCTGTTCTCTTTGGGGGAGCCCCTATGGCCCCTTGGGTTGCCCCCGCACATTTGAAGGGGGTGTCAGACTAGGAACAATTCTTCACACACCCACTTTATAACGTTTGCTATGCAATTTATATAATCCGGATTGGGTTTATATTCCCTTCCTATATCAAGCTAGACTGTTTAGGTCTCTTGCCCAGTATTCTTTGATCTGACTGGGAACCAATTTTCCAGGATCACAGACAGGAAGAGATTCTTCCAAAGCCTGAAAAAAATTCGGGGGGTGGGGGTAGGGGAGTGGGAACTACTAGAATCCTCCAGCCAATATTGTAATGGGTCCCCACCCTCACCTACCACCTGATTCTTTTAATTGGAAATTGCAGAGACTAAGCGCTGGGATGTTTTGCATTTGGAGTGCATGCAATACAACTGAGCTTCACTCTCTGCCTTACAGGGTTTGAATGCAAACCATGTCTAACCAGGACTCTGCACAGGAGATGTTGCATCAGTGGTCAAAACCACCAGAGTAGATAAGACTGCAGACTTAAGGATTTGATAACATCGCATTATCTGGGCGACAATAATTTCCCCACTGTATGAATAAAAACCACCACCAGAACAACACACTAAGCCAGCATATTTACTATTTGTTTCTGTCTTTAAAAAGTGCTTTACCATTTCCTGGATTTCAGTTTTGGGGGAGGGTTTCGTGGGATGAGAAAAAGAGCCCTCATGGGATGCATGTCACACAAGGCTGGAAGGGAAGAAAAAAAAGAAAACGAGAACAGAACGCTCTTAAAACAAAATACTATCAGCCAGGTTCTCACAGGCATATCATTACTGGGGTTTCAGCACCACTTACATCATGTGCTTGACAGCTGGCATATTTACATGGAATAAAACCCACTGAAAAATATTGCACTCATGACAAGAGTCTCTGTTTGTGATGTATTGTGAACCAGAGGGGGCAATGGAGAGAGAGCTAGATGGCACTGAGAGTGCTTCCTGTTCTTGCCTTTTCCAGCTCTACGTGCAGATGGATAATCCTAGGCTATCTTCCTTCCTCTCCTTGTGAGCTTACTCCCTGTTTCTGCTCGCACTTCCATTTTAGTCGAAGAAAGGCCTGCCAGGAGACTTACAGACACAGAAGTTAGCAATATGGCTTTAACTTACTGTATTAAGTTGAGAGTTCTTTTTCCTGCTCTACTATCCTTCTTTGTGGCTGCTCCCAGGATGTGGAGTGCACTCCCTTGAGAAATTAGCTGGCCCTTCCCTATTATCCTTCTGCTGACATTTGAAGACCCATCTTTACAGGCAGGATTTTAATAACCATCACCGAGCCTCTGGATGCTGGGTCTTAGCTAAATTTGTTTTTAAAGTTTTAAATGTTTTTCATCACTGAGCCTCTGGGTGCTGGGTCTTAGCCAAATTCGTTTTTTAAAGTTTTAATTTTTTTATTAAATTATTTATTGGATTTTAAATCACTATTATAGTTTAGTGGTTTTTAATGTGCAATTTACTGTGATTTTAATTTTACTGGTCTTAACACTATGAGCTGCCTTGAGTCTCTTTATTATCATTGGGGGATAATAATAAAAATAATGATGTGCCGTCGACGTCAGTTCTGATTTACGGCGGACCCTTTAGGTGGCCTATAAGGGGGACAAAGAAACAAACCATCTTTAAATGGAATTCTGAAATTAATAAACAGTGTGTTCGTTTTCCTTTCTTAAAAAGAAAAATTCCTTCTAATATCAGTCTCCAGGGTGATTTTTCCTGTTCAATAGTCGCACAACTAGGTTGAGTACTGGGTCATCTCACCCTGGCCAAACAATCCTAACTCTGCAGGGGTGCGTGCGTGCCAGTGCAAACTGTTCAAGCCACATGCAAGCCTTTATTTGGCATCACTTGGGTCCAATGAGCAATGTGCATGGCCCTCAATGCCAATGAACTGAATTCTGTGACCTGACCGTACAAGGCAAGCTTGCATGCGAGATGATGAGATGGGATATGCACACTCTACCTAGGGTGCCTGATCTGCATCAGTCCACTCACACCTTCATGTCTTGACATGATATTACAGGTATCAAGGGGAACGCGTGCATGCCTGAAGCAACCCTCCTCTCTTGCTACCTGCTTTCCTGCACACCGCTCCCTCGGCAAGCTGAAGGCACCACCGATCCTCGAGTGATTTTTCTCCAGTTACTGGAGTATTGTTGTTTAGTAAGACTGTCCATCTGTGTCCTTTGACACAGAAAACCAAAGTCTTTGAAGCGAGGGCAGGCAGGAGGGAGGCTGTGTGCGAAGGAGTCATGGAACAGACACGGCAAAGTATATTCCACTGAATTTCCTTTATACTATGACCTCAAAAGGCAATGGGACATGGTTGCATAAATATATGCACACATTAAAGGTCCTTGCCTAGGCAAACAGGGTGGCCCATATTTTTAAATTAATAACCCTTGGTTATAATTAAATACAACTATTATTTAGTAACCTTTTACATGTTCAACTGTATACATTATAGGGCACACCCCTTCATTCACTCCTTTGAAAATATTTGTATGCTGCTTCTCGTTTTAAGAAAATATATCCCAAAATAGTTTGGAATAAAACTAAAAATACAATGTAGTCAATTGAGAAACAAAACAAAACAATTATAATGGTTTTTTTTTTAAATGTAAAGAAAAACAAGGGTGATGACTTATGTTTGCGTGCAGGAAAACGATCAGGTAAATTCCTGAGCAAACAAAATAACCGTTTGGTTGTTATGAAGATGACCCAACGCTGGGAGCCCATCTAATCGCAATGGAAGGATCATTCTACATGGTGGGCAATGCCACGATGGAGAAGACCTTCCTCTTTGTCACAGCCTAATAGACCTGCCTACAGCCTGTAGTACGATAAACCGAGCTTCCTCTTCAGAGCAGGAAGATTGATTTGGCTCTTCGTCTACATATTCAGACAATGTTCCACATTTCACAAGGTTATGAACAACAACAACAAAAGCAACGAGCGACTTACGGGGAGCTCCCTCAGCCATCTCTATAGCTGTGATTCCCAGCGACCATAAGTCACTCTGGAGGAGATAAAAAAGGAAATTAAAAGCAGGTCTGGACTACTTAGCAACCACTAAGTTGGACAAGAACCAACACAGGCTCGTAGTCTTTGTGTGTACACTCCTTGATTACACTTCATCTGTAAAGAGTGGTCTTAACCGACCAGATAGGGCTCCCTGATTACACTTCATCTGTATACTGCAAATACATGAAAGAAGTGTCTCTCTCTCTCTGTCTGAAACACATTTTTAAATACATGAAAGAAGTCTCTCTCTCTCTCTCTCTCTCTCTCTCTCTCTGTCTGAAACACATTTTTCATTGTCTTCTTCTATCTCCCCTTAAAGCACATACTAACAGTACACTCCTTCATGCTGTTCATTGGCCATAGCTTTAAAAAGGTAAAGGTTCCCCTTGACAATTTTTGTCCAGTCGTGTTCGACTCTAGGGGGCGGTGCTCATCCCCGTTTCCAAGCCATAGAGCCAGCGTTTTGTCCGAAGACAATCTTCCGTGGTCACAATGTTCAGTGCGACTTAGACACGGAACGCTGTTACCTTCCCACCGAGGTGGTCCCTATTTATCTACTCGCATTTGCATGCTTTCGAACCGCTAGGTTGGCGGGAGCTGGGACAAGTGACGGGCGCTCACTCCGTCACGTGGATTCGATCTTACGACTGCTTGGTCTTCTGACCCTGCAGCACAGGCTTCTGCGGTTTAGCCCACAGTGCCACCACGTCCCGAGGCCATAGCTTTAAGTGACGGCAAAACATAGAAGGAAGGCAGCGGAAAGTGATTTAAAATGAATGTCCACTGGAGAAGATGGATTTCAGCAATCCAGGCAAGAGTTGATTATGGTAATGACTGGAGTGAGCAAATTTATCTATTTTGCATTCTCTTGCAAATTTGGGTAAGTTCTGTGGGGAAAACAAACCCCAAAACCTACAGTCAAATTCTAACCTGTCCCTAGGGAAAGGAGAAATCTATCCATTTTGCTTTCCCCACAATCAAATCTTCCTAGGTTTTGGGGGGAAGGAGTAGAAGGGTAGATGAACTGAAATTAAATTCTGAACCATCTCTATGACAGACAGGAAAGTGAGAAAGACACAGCAAGTGTCTGAACTAGAACAGGAGGCGAAGGACAGCAGTTGTGATGTCAAGCATAACAGTTGATTTTGAGAAGGAAAAAAACCCAGAATATCTTTGTGTCTGCAGATCTGACGCCGGGGAAAGTGAGAGTAAAGTGCCTTTTCTGTCCTTTTGGTGAAATGTTTGGAGAAGAAAATGGTAACAGATTTGCCAACAGCAGCAGAACAAAGTGGGGAACTCACACGGTAGTCATATGTTGATTCTGGGTTTTCGTCACAAGCAATAACCTCGGGCGCCATCCAATAGGGAGTCCCAATGAAAGTGTTTCTCCTGCCAATTGTCCTGTCCAGCTGTGCACTTACTCCAAAATCCACTGTAAAACCCAAGCAGGCACAAAACAACAAAGAATGATGTTTGCAGACACATTTCTGGGAAGGGGGAAATTTGTTGCAGCACCCCCCCATACCCGGGAAAATAATATCAGTCACAATTGTAGGCCTGTCACTAGTTTTGTCAATACTTGGGGGCAGCCTGAATGTGTGAAACACTGCATTTGGAGCAGTGATGATAGTAGGTGGTAGTGGTGGTAGTGATAATGATGACCCTTGTCATGATGATTAGGCCTGTAATGTTCACTTGATAAGGCAATTATGTGAATCACTTAAAATCTTTCTGATAGATTCCAAAATGCGCTCTCAGTCAATCAGGCAACAGATTCTTCAAAATTGCTAACAAATGTTGTTGATTTTTGCTTAAAAGTCAGCACTTACAGTTCCATGGGCAACCATTACATTCCGAGAAGAGGCATTCTTTCTTCTTCAATACACAGAAAGCATACTTTCCTGCTTTTAGTTCTGGTTGTTGTGGGTTTTTTGGGCTCTTTGGCCGTGTTCTGAAGGTTGTTCTTCCTAACGTTTCACCAGTCTCTGTGGCCGGCCTCTTCAAAGGACAGCACTCTGTGCTCTGGTGTAGTTGGCTTAGGAGTCAACTACACCAACTACACCAGAGCAGAGAGCACCAAACTAACTACACCAGAGCACAGAGTGCTGTCCTCTGAAGATGCCGGCCACAGAGACTGGTGAAATGTTAGGAAGAACAACCTTCAGAACACGGCCAAAGACCCTGAAAAACCCACAACAACCATTAGATCCCGGCTGTGAAAGCCTTCACAAATAAATCTTAGTTCTCTCTTTCATGAGGAATGCCTCTGCTAATAATCTCTTGGAAGACATTTTAATCTTTTCTCACCTAAGAGGGCATGCCTCTTCTAATATGTTCCTGGAAGAGGCATTACTAGTTCCCTATCATCCATGAGCAATGACTTGTTTATGTCCTCCTTGAAGAGGCATTTCTAGATCTGTCACACTTTTCTAGTGACCTTTTGGAAGGCATATCTCTACTTGTCTTTCACAAAGAAGGGAATGCATCTTCCAAGGCAGTGTTTGCTTCGACAGATGCATGTCTGACTTGAAAACAAAACAAGAATTCCCCCCTTTCCCCTTCAAAATTAAAGTTTTATTTATCCCACCATAATACCAGAGGGATCACATACCTAACTTCACTTCGGCATTTTCTGTGAGGAGCACGTTCTGACCTTTAATATCTCGGTGGATAACATGATGGAGGTGTAAGTGTGCTAAACCCTGGAAAAAAAAACCACACCATGTTAGCTTTCTTGTCTTTTTACTCCACTTCTGTTTGAACAAGGAATTTGTATCTCTAGAGATGAACTTATATGCTTTCCAGTATATGCTTTCCAGGGTATGTGAGAGGTCATGATGGTGGGAGACTCAGTCACTGGGAACACACTGAAATTAAAAAGAGAGGCAGTGTGTTATAGTGAGTAGAGTGCTGGACCAAACCATGAGAGATGTGAGTTCCGCTGTCCACTCAGCCTTGAAAATTCTCTGGGGGCTGCCAAAGGAAAACCACTTTGAACATTTGACACACCCTTGAAAACCCAAATTAGGATTACCATAAGCCAGAAGCACCACAAGACATATACAGTCGTGGCCCGCTTAATGATTACCCCATATAACAACGAATCCGCTTCATGACGATGTTTTTGCAATTGCAATTGCGATTGCAAAACAACGTTTTAATGGGGTTTTTTTTTGCTTTGCGACGATCGGTTCTCTGCTTCGGGAACCGATTCTTCGCATTACGATGATCAAAACAGCTGATCGTCGGGGGTTCAAAATTGCCACCGGCTGCTCAAAATGGCTCCCCGCTGTTTTTAGGAGGCATTTTTCGATTAACAGGCACTCAAAAATGGCCACCGTATGGAGGATCTTCGCTGGATGAGCAGGTATTCAGCCCATTGGAACACATTGAACGGTTTTCAATGCATTACAATGGGCTTTTTTATTTCGCTTGTAGACATTTTTGCTCTACAGCGATTTCGCTGGAACGAATTAACGTCGTCAAGCGAGGCACCACTGTAGAACTAAATAATTATTTGTCAATTAATTAGTTACTGTATGTGGGAAAGAGAAAGGTTACATTATAGAGTGTGGAGGAGCATGACTATCCAGTGTTCCCACCTATCAACTATGCCTTTTTCTAGAATGATCCATTGTTCCTCACTCTTTAACTCTCTTCCATACTCCCAACATTATCAGAGACCTGTGTTCAATGATTAAGTACAGATTAGGATATCGTTATCCATTTAGGACTTTTTTTCACTAAAAATATATGTGTCTGTAGATTTTGAGACCATCCTCCAACATGTTGATCTGTGCAGATTTTGAGACCATCCTCCAACATGTTGATACCTACTTGTTTCTCAGCAGTTCTACTTTGATTACATAAGCATTATAAGTCAGGGCTTTAATTAGCATGTGCAATTTTATGTCTACATATATATGTCTCTCTATATGTATGCGCACATGTACCTGTCAATGGCTCTCTAGCCTTGCTTTAAGGATGTTCGTTCTAGCAAAGGGGATTAAACTAGATCAGTACAATATCCTGTTCTATATTTCCATGAAAGCAAATCCAACCACCCGGTTTTGCACAAGATGCACCTTGTTATGTCACTGCAGCAGCCTTATCAGCTGGAATTCCATACACATGTAACTACGGAACAGGACATCGGCTGATATTTATATGTATATATAAATTTATATATGTACACACACAGAGAGAGAGAGCCCATCTAGCAAATTGCTATTCTGAGCAATGTACCAAAAGAAAGAACAAAAGAAAGAAAGAAAGAAAAAGAAAGAAAGAAAGACAGAAAGAAAGAAAGAAAAGAAAAGAAAAAGAGAAGAGATGGAAAAAAGAAAAGAAACATAAATTATAAAATTGCAGTAAACCACTAAAGCATCTCAAAAATAAACAAATACCAAAATGGTGCGGAAATAAGAATAGCAGAACACCCAGAACACCCCCTCCTCCTTCTCCCCACTTCCCAATTAATCAGGGAGAACCTTTCTAAAAGCTTTCCTAAACAACTCTGTTTCGTAGGAGCTTTTTAAAGAAACAGAGGGAGGGCGTCTGGCTGCAGCTCCTGTGGGAGAGCATTCCACACGTTGGAGTGCCACTGCAGAGAAGGCCCCGTTTCTAGTTGAGGTTTTCTGGGCTTCTTGGGGTGTCAACACCTCCAGGCGTGAGATCTGTAGGGAAAGAGTCAGATGGGCAGCCAAACTAGGCAGAAGACGTTCAGACAAGAAGTATGTTACCCCGTGTTCCTTCACATGTCACATCAAAGCAAACTTAATCATTCTGAAATTCTATCAAGACGACACTCACCCTGAGAACTTCTCTACATATATATGCGATCCAGTCTTCCTTGAAACAGTTGCCTTTTGTTTTCTTCACCAAATCTGTCACGGATCCTGCTCCACAATATTCCATTACCAACTGGGGAGTGGTTAAAAACTCAGTTATGGATTTTGAAATGCAAAGATGGAAGGAACACATACATCTTCCGAACTACTATAAAATGATGGCAGGGACATATTTCATTAAAAGCATTAACCTGTGATCGAAACCTGAAGACATTTGAATGTGAATGTGTTACCTTTTCTTTGAATAAATATAATGTTATTCTTTTAAAAAAAAACTTTTGAAAATGTATGCATTGCATTGCTTGTTAGTCATTTGTTAGCAGTGAGTTTTCGTAAGACAGGTTTCTGAAAAAAATAAAAAATTAAAGTAGGAAAAAACTTCTAAAATAGCCAGCCAGCAAACACACATCAACATCTTATTGCCGTTGTCCTAAAGTTAACACGGGTGCTGTACTCGCTGCTAAATAAACAAATAAACAAAAATTCAACAAGTAACAGTATTGCTTTTAACAAGCTATTTCCAAGCTCTACTTAAAATTTGGTCAACTCCAAATTTTAGATCAAACTAAAAGCGATGTCTGCCAAACTACGATGCTATTACTGGAGAGCTCTGTGATTTTAGGTATCTCGATGTGGAACCAGAGGTTGGGGGTTCGATTCCCCACTGTGCTTCCTTGAAAGGGGCTGGACTTGATGATCCATTGGGTCCCTTCCAGCTCTGCTGTTCTAAGATTTGAAGATTATTTTAAGTGCTATTAATTTCTATGGCACAATTTACTTGCTCTTCGTCTGTATCTCAGGCTCATACACTCCTATCTCCAATCCCATCTACACGTCTCCCTCCAACAGTGCTGTTAGGGGAACCGGGCCCCCATGCAGTTCAAAATCCATGTACAACTCTTTTGTTCCCAAAATCATAAGTATAAAGCATAAATAGTTGATTCTCTCTCTCTCTCTCTCTCTCACACACACACACACACACACACACACACACGGAGCTACCACACAAACAACAGCAGGGCCTCAGTGTGTCCGCGACTTCCCTTTCTCAGGCCACTTCTTGAAGATGAATGGCAGAATAGTATTTATTTATTGAAATGTTTATTTATTGAATATTGGACACATGCCATTCAAGGGAGAGATGCACTTTGTTTTCCCTCCCTCTTCTCCATTTTTTAACTTCTTTGTAAAAAGAAACCTTTTCTCCTTGTTTGATCTGAATCCCTCCCACAGTGCCTGGGATTAAAATGTCATTATCTCCAAACTGACAAGGTATTGTTACTACAGAGCATAGGTAAAGGTAAAGGTTCCCCTTGACATTTAGTCCAGTTGTGCCCGACTCTAGAGTGCGGTGCTCATCCCCGTCTCCAAGCCATAGAGCCAGCGTTTTGTCCAAAGACAGTTTCCATGGTCACGTGGCCAGCATGACTAGACACGGAACGCCGTTACCTTCCCAACGAGGTGGTGCCTATTTATCTACTCACATTTACATGCTTTCAAACTGCTAGGTTGGCTGGAGCTGGGACAAGCAATGGGAGCTCACTCCATTGCATGGATTCGATCTTA